CATTGAGCAGCAGCCTCAGGTTGTTAGGCCTCTCTCTGCCTCCCTGTTAGGCTGCTCTCTTTGTTGGTGAGTTTAGCAGTGCATTCCTCACCTTAAAGGGTTACCTTTGAGCACGCCACTCCCAATTGAGCTTCTGAGGTCTCCTCTTATCGGGTCCTCCGCTCCTTGGAGCTCCATTGAGCAGCATCCTCAGATTGTTAGGCCTTTCTCTGCCTCCCTGTTAGGCTGCTCTCTTTGTTGGTCGAGCTTAGCAGTGCTCCCCTCACCTAGAGGGTCACCAATGAGCACACTGTTCCCAGTTTGAGGTCTGTCCTGTGACTGTTATGGTTGAGTTGGCGATACTCCCCTCACATGGAGGGTTTTTCTATGAGATACACCTTTTTCAATCTACATGTGCTCTAAGCATGCGGCTTCCCGCTGAATTATTGTCACTCCTTGAGTGGGCCACAGTCACGTAGGGTCTAGGCCTGTCTAAGGGACAGTTTTTTGGTTACCCTTTAGTAACGGTGTTTCTAAATCCATGCTATGGTAAGTGCACATGCTGAGCTTCTGTGCACTTTCTAAAATCCACATTGTGGTAAGTGTGCATGCTAGTAATTCTGCGCACTTTCTAAAATCCTGTATGGTAAGGGTTACACGCTGTCAGCCTCGTTTCCTTTCTCTGAGTTGGCTAGGCCCCGGTTTTCACCTTGGGCTCCACTCAATCTACTGTATGTATCCCTGTTGGTACATTACGGTATTTCTAAATCCATATATATGGTTAGTGCACACGCTAGTTCTCTGTGCACTTCTCTATCCATATTCATGGTAGGTGTGCACGCTAGCCTTTGTGCACATTTTTAAAAACCCTTTATGGTAAGGGTGATGCGATGCTGGCCTCTTCCCCTTTCTCTGAGTTGGCTCTGGCCTCGGTTTTTACCTTGGGCCCCACTCTCCGCGTACACGCTTTTGTAGACAGGGTGTTGCTACTAAGTCCCCTGGGTATCTTGTGATCCTCGGGCAGCTCTTTCGTAGAGCAGGAGGTAGTCCCTGTGTGACAGGCCAGGATATGGGTTATGTTAGCCCTGGTACTTGGCCGTATCCCCTTAAAGGAATCCTTTTTATTTTTAGTTCCAAGCCTTGAGCTTTGCCCTGGGCTCGGGCTTTATACAATCCAGCCCTTACAGGTAAGTTCTTTGGTGCACAGCTCAGGCCTTTGGCCGTAGGGGTTTATGTCACTGACAGCCATCAAAACATCCTAGGGGCAGCTCCTCTGACTTGGTTGAGTTGGTACTTAGTGCTCGCCTTAGTTTTGGCATGCATTCCCCTCAGCATGGCAGCGTGGGTATACCGTTCCCCATAGTGACCTCTAGAGGACGCAGTTTGAAGTTCCCTTGGAAGGGAACATCTTAGGTTACGTATGTAACCATGGTTCCCTGAGAAGGGAATGAGACACTGCGTCCTCAAGTTTCCTTGCCATGCTTCGGACGCAAGCTTCAGACGAAGAAGCAGATGATGTGTTATCCCAGTGCCCTTTTATACTGTGCAGGGTAATGACGTCATAGGCTGTCACCGGCCAATATCATTGTCATGCTTAGATGTATGCTTCAGACACCGGTCACGCTGAAGGCGTTCCCCATAGCGACCTCTAGAGGACGCAGTGTCTTGTTCCCTTCTCAGGGAACCATGGTTACATACATAACCTGAGACGTTTTTGTGCAAGCCTTTTTCATGATTCCTTGATGAATAAATGTTCAGAATGTATTTGAATTTGAAATGATTTGAAATCATTTTTTAAAACAATCTAATAGTCTTTACTGTTTGTGTTCTTTCTGAATAAATGTCTTTAAAAAAAAATCTTATCGACCCCAAACTTTTGAACAGGCAAGTACAGTAATGAAAATGAGAGGGGACTGGGTCTTTCAGGCTCCAAAATGACAAAAAAAAACATTAAAGTACCAAAAAAAGTAATCCATTTGAATGTACCAAAAATCATTAACATATAAAAAAAAATGTAGGCTATTTTTCTGAAAATCATCGAGTATAACAGTCTTTCTGTAAAAATGGGGCATCGACACTATTGACAGCATTGGTTTTAGTGAAATAGAGTACTTCTTTGATACTTTTAAGGTGATTTTTTTTTGTTACCTCCAAGTCCCCATTCACTTTCATTATATGGAAAGGAATGACCAGGATTTGCTTCCAAAAACTCATCTTTTGCGCAGAAAATAAAGTCAAATAGGTTTGGAGTGAGTGAGTGATGATAGAATGATCATTTTCTGCCAAACTATTCCTTTCAGATTTAACCTTGCTAATAATAACCTCTAAGTCTAATGACTTTAGGATATACAGGACAGAGAACTCACAACTTGGCCCTTATAAGAAATTCATATTTCTATTTCGTAAGTAGAAACGATCTCTCCCAAATAATGCATGAGTAATGTCAATTTCTGTACTTCCCTTTTGCCCCAGCCTCTTAGAACCAGTTACTCCAGGAAAGTCATCCACACACAAAGAGGGAAAGAGAAAGTGGAAGAGAAATCTAAATGAAACAGTCTTGAAGCAAAGAGAACAGGCTGAGAGAGTGAGGCTGGTCAGCCCTTACTGCTGTGGGGAACCCAGGCTGGTTTCTCCCTGGGGGTCACAAAGCGTCCACGCGCCTCTCCGTCTTTATCCTCCTCCTCCTCGCCTTCAGAGAGGAGATCTGAGATCTGCTGCTGCAGCTCAGGGCTGATGTCGTTCTCAGCTAGAACCAGCACACGCAGGCTGGTGGGGTAGTTCTCCACCATGTCTAGGAAGACCTGACCACAGAGAAACAAGGAAGGCATTACGCTTAAAGCATGAAGTATTACATGGAAAGAACTGGGAGGAAATGAAGTGCAATGACATATCTGTGTTAATAATACACATACAAAATTATAAACTTTTGATACTCCAACATAGCAGGTGGAGGTACTGCACTGGTTGCAACCCATCATAATATAGAAAAAAGAAGACGATGAAATGTGTAACTACTACTTCTGCACAAAATCATGTTGTCGGAGATGACACTCTACCCACACCTGAAAAAGTTACCTCACCAGTGTAGTTTTTTTTAAATCTGTAATAATTGACAGCCAATCGGAATCCAGCTGATGAACGATAAAAACATTGACAGCCAATAGGAATCCAGCTGATGTTAAAAGAGCTTGAGCATTAAAGCAGCAGATGACAACTATAGCATATGCTTATAATAAACAGAACATGGTGTGGATGATATTATAGTTATCAATATACTTATCTTTATAGTTATGGTTCTTGGTGTGAACAGCCCAGTCTAAGTGCTGGAAGTGCACTTAGTACAGGAAGTGCTGATTAAGAGTTAAGATTACAAATTCTCTCTTTACCTCCCTAAACGTGTATTTTGAAAACACAAAATAAAGTTAAAAGATGAATGTGAGTGATGGCACTATTCATTCATTTTATACTTTCCCAAAATTTCTATGGAAATTGCAATAAAATTGTACATTTGTATCGCTATTTATCGCAATATCGTGTATCAAAATCTGATACAGTGTCAACCCTAATTAGTAGTCACCTCATCACTGCATAACATTCATTTGCATAAAGCTGAACTCAAACGTTCAAACACAAGTGCAAATCTCATAGAAAATCATTGACTTCTGATTGCTGTCACAAGAAGCTGTACTTGTGAATCCCCCTTAAAGGGATAGTTCAGTCAAAAATGCAAATGTTATCATTTACTCACCCTCCACTAGATCCAAATACATTATGCACTTAATAAAAATACCCTGCAATTGTACTTTTGGTATACTACTGGTGTACTATAATAATAGTCTGCTAAATTGGAACAACTAATTTTGTACTTAATGCAATTTAATTGTGCGTAAGTAGTGCTGAAATCCAGCTAAAGATATACTGAAGTATATTTTAGTGTGCTAAATTGGAACTATTGCAAGTATACTTCAGGTACACTTTAAATATCTTATATTTAAAGAGCGATATTATTCGAAGATCATACAATTCTCATCAATTGTGACATTAAAACACATTTTAAGTTGATATTAAGAAATGTGCATTGTGCACAAGTAGCGCTCCAAATAAAGTTGAATTAAATTTGTTTTATTTGTAAGTCTCGAGCGATATGTCAGTAAATATGTGAATATATTTTAACTATACTTAGTATGAAATAAATGTATCTTAAATATATTACTTTTTTTTACTAGGGAAAGTTGGCACAAATACTTGGATGACCCACTATACCTGCTTAAATTGCAACCAATGCATATTTTACCATCCAATGACACCAAGCAGAGTCATTACAACTATCATGGCAGGAGTATGGACACTGAGAGCATGAAGAAATTCCCTGTACAACTTTGCCCTCTAGTGGAGAGTTATGAAAATATAATCCTCTGCCAATTCTACCTCCTGTTGACAGACTGAGTGAAAACAGAGAAGGTATGAGAGCTTTTAAAGGAATACTTTATCTGTTTAGTGATGTCATGTTGGATAGACATTGTGATGTTTTCTTTCTTTCATGAAACACAGTCTAAGATGTATAAACCCAGACTTAACATCTCATTTTGTGTTTTACAGAAGAAAGATAATGAGGCCGCAATGACATGAGGGTGACCGAGGAATTATGGTTTAAAGTTGTGCTTAATCCATTATTTTCCCCCACAGTGCTATTTTTCAGCAGGTGGTTTTAGGAAAAGGTTTTGGATTGCTTGTCTGGTTTTTAAAGTACATATCTGATCTACATGCCCTATCTCCTTTCAAGGGCAAAATGAATGAAGCCACTGCACGGATTACATTGCATGCATCACACAGCACTTACCTGCATGAACGTACACATAATTCATCACTGATTTAAATCAAAAAGTCCTAAGAATAGTGTTTACTCTTGGTGAACTCTATGGTAGGTATTTTAGAAATGCAGGAGTAGTGGTAGAGAAATTGGGTGGAAAATGAAAACAATTAGATTCAAATAGGCATTAATATGAGTTAATTAATATAGAGTAATATTAAAGGCATTAATATCGAGTTTTGGAGTGCAACTGGAGATCATACTGTTTTCTGCCTTAGGAGAACAATTAACCTAAAAATGAAAATTCTCATCATTTACTCACATCATTTCTTTCTTCTGTGTTATTTTGAAGAATAATCACATTCTTCGTGATATTCTTTATAGATTTACACTACTGTTCAAAAGTTTGGGGCCTGTAAGATTTGTAATGTTTTTAAGACACTGATGCTCATCAAGGCTGCATTTATTTGATCAAAATACAGTAACAATTTTATTACAATTTAAAATGACTATTTTCTATGTGAATATATTTTAAAATGTAATTTATTCCAGTGAAGCAATGCTGAATTTTCAGCATCATTACTCCAGTCTTCAGTGTCACATGATTCTTCAGAAATCATTCTAATATACTGATTTGCAGCTCAAACCATGTCTTATTATTATCAACATTGAAAACAGTTTTGGCTCCTTAATATTTTTGTGGAAACTTAAAAAAAAAAACATTTCTGGATTCTTTGATGAAAACAAAGTGCAAAAAACAGCATTTATTTGAAATAGAAAACTTTCGTAACATTATAAATGTCTTTACTGTTGCTTTTGAACAATTTACTGCATCCAACAGTAGTTGCTGAAGTATTATTTCCTTTAACAAAACTCAATGAGACACAGCTAAATCAAATGAACACACTAGGAACAGGAACAGGAACATAACCAAATATGGGCACAGTCACACAGGTCACGGAGCACATGGGAAGCAAAACAAACCGACAGACAGTCCAGGGGTGTGACATTACCTCCCCCTCCCGGAAGGCGCGTCCACGCGCCCCATAACTTCCAACGGGGAGGGAGCGTGGGCGCTCTGGAGGCTTCTAGGGACAGGCTTACACGGGACGGAAGGCCTCCAGGGCGGTACCCATTCCGGGACCCATGGAGGATCAGGCAGCTCGGGGAGCCATGGCGGAGCGGCCTCCGTGGCCTTGGCCTCAGCACTCGGCCCAGCCCTATAGCCCCCCTACCCCCCCCCCCCCCCCCCAAATTTCGGGTTCTGAGGCCTTCCGTGGGCCTGACTCGGGAACAGGGGCCCTTCTCTGGGCTGGACTTGGGAACAGGAGCCCTCTCTGGGTTGGACGCGGGAACAGAAGCCCTCTCTGGGCCCGACTTGGGAACAGGAGCCCTCTCTAGGCTGGACTTGGGAACATAGTCTCTTTCTGGACTGGATGTGGGAACCACAGCCCTCTCTGGGCTTAACTCGGGAACAAGAGCCTTCTCGGGGCCTAACTCAGGAACAGGAGCCCTCTCTGGGCTGAACGTGGGAACAGGAGCCCTCTCTGGGCTGGACGAGGGAACAGAAGCCCTTTCCGGGCCCAACTTGGGAACAGGAGCTCTCTCTGGGCTGGACGTAGGAACAGGAGCTGGAGCGGACTCAGGGGCTGGAGCCGACAGTCTTTTTCTCCTCATATTCTTCCTTTGATTTGGGGTTAAGGAGCAGGCTGCTGTCAGCTGAGAGCTTGGGAGGGAATCGGCCAGCGGACTTGACTTCGAACCGCGGGCTGGCTCTGAATCAGGGCCGGACACTCTCCAGACTCTCCCAGACGACGGGGCGATGGTAGTTGGCCCCAATCCAGAACAGAGAATTCAGAGTTGTGTCATCTAACGCCATCATAATGGCGAGCCCACAGAATTCCCTGGCGTACTCCACAAAGGGAAGATCCCTGCGGGCTAGGGATTCCATGAGAAAACAAAACTTTCAAAGAAGGTAACCAAAACGGGGAGAAGGGGCACTGCTTCCGGTATGTAGGTCCGGTATTCTGTCATGATCTGATGATACTGTGCACATGGGAAGCAAAACAAACCGACGACAGTCCAGGTGTGTGATAATATGTATGTGTACTGTGCATATTTATTATGTACTGTATATATAAATACACACACATGCATGTATATATTTCAGAAAAATTAAATTTTTATATATTAAATATATTTATTTAGAATATAAATTATATGAATGTAAATCTTACCAGCAAACATACACTCGTTTTCATCCTCCTCTCCACTATCTGAGGCAGAAGTCTGTAAACTCATCCTTTCCAATCATCCTACTACTTGTCCGCTTGATCCTATTCCATCTCATCTCCTTCAAGCCATTTCTCTTGCCATTTTTCTATTCTATCTACTTGTTTTTTGTGTGTGTGTTTGTGTGTATATATACAGTGGGTACGGAAAGTATTCAGACCCCCTTAAATTTGTCACTCTTTGTTATATTGCAGCCGCAGTTATATAATGTATATGGGCTTAAATTGCACACTCAGCTTTAATTTGAGAGTATTCACATCAACATTTGAAGAAAGGTTGAGGAATTACAGCTCTTTAATATATTATGTACCTCCCCCCTTTTTCAAGGAACCATAAGTTTCATGGACAGGCGTGGGCTATTCCTTCGTTATTTCTACATCAATTAAGCAGGTAAAAGTTTTGGAGTTGATTCTAAGAACCCACCTCATGCAGTCAAAAGATCTCTCCATACAAGTGAAACAGGCAATTGTTATGCTTCAAAAACAAAACAAATCCATCAGAGACAGGAGCAGGAAGATTAGGAGTGGCCAAATCAACAGTTTGGTACATTCTGAGAAAAAAAAAAGCACTGGTGAGCTCAGCAACATAAAAAGGCCTGGACGTCCATGGAGGACAACAGTGGTGGATGATCAGAGGAACCTCATGGTAAAGAAAAACCCTTTAACAACATCCAGCCAAGAGAAGAACACTCTCCAGGAGATAGACGTGTCACTGTCAAAGTCTACAATCAAGCGAAGACTTCACGAGAGCAAATACAGAGGGTTCACCACAAGGTGCAAACAAGGCCAGATTAGACTTTGCCAAAAAACCTAAAAAAGCCAGAGCACTTCTGGAAAATCATACTATGGACGGCTGAAATTAAGACCAACCTGTACCAGAATGACGGGAAGAAAAAAGTATGGAGAAGGCTTGGAACAGCTCATGATCCTAAGCACACAACATCATCCGTGAAACATGGTGGAGCAGTGTGATGGCATGAGCGTGCATGGCTTCCAGTAGCACTGGGTTACTGGTGTTTACTGATGACGTGACAGAAGACAGAAGCAGCCGGAAGAATTCTGAAGTGTATAGGGATACTCTCTGCCCAGATTCAGCCAAATGCAACTAAATTGATTGGACAGCGCTTAATAGTACAAATGGGCATATTTTGGACGGCTGAAATTAAGACCAACCTGTACCAGAATGACGGGAAGAAAAAAGTATGGAGAAGGCTTGGAACAGCTCATGATCCTAAGCACACAACATCATCCGTGAAACATGGTGGAGCAGTGTGATGGCATGAGCGTGCATGGCTTCCAGTAGCACTGGGTTACTGGTGTTTACTGATGACGTGACAGAAGACAGAAGCAGCCGGAAGAATTCTGAAGTGTATAGGGATACTCTCTGCCCAGATTCAGCCAAATGCAACTAAATTGATTGGACAGCGCTTAATAGTACAAATGGACAATGACCCAAAACATACAGCAAAAGCAATTCAGGAGTTTTTGAAGGGAAAAAAGTGGAATATTCTGCAATGGCCAAGTTAATCTCCCGATCTCAACCCGATTGAGCTGCATTTCACTCACTGAAGACAAACCTAGAGGCTGAACGACCCACAAACAAGCAAACAACAACTGAAGTCAGCTGCAGTAAACCTGGCAAAGCATCACAAAGGAGGAAACCCAGTCTCTGGTGATGTCCATGAGTTCCAGACTTAAGGCAGTCATTGCCTGCAAAGGATTCTCAACAAATATTACAAATGAATATTTTATTAATGATTATATTTACTTGTCCAATTACATTTGAGTATAGGGATACTCTCTGCCCAGATTCAGCCAAATGCAACTAAATTGATTGGACAGCGCTTAACAGTACAAATGGACAATGACCCAAAACGTACAGAAAAAGCAATTCAGGAGTTTTTGAAGGGGAAAAAAGTGGAATATTCTGCAATGGCCAAGTTAATCTCCCGATCTCAACCCGATTGAGCTGCATTTCACTCACTGAAGACAAACCTAGAGGCTGAACGACCCACAAACAAGCAAACAACAACTGAAGTCAGCTGCAGTAAACCTGGCAAAGCATCACAAAGGAGGAAACCCAGTCTCTGGTGATGTCCATGAGTTCCAGACTTAAGGCAGTCATTGCCTGCAAAGGATTCTCAACAAATATTACAAATGAATATTTTATTAATGATTATATTTACTTGTCCAATTACATTTGAGACACTGAAAATGGTGGGACTGTGAAAAAAATGGCTGTAATTCCTAAGCATTTTATGTTATGTTTTTGTTCAACCCCTTGAATTAAAGCTTAAAGTCTGCACTTCAATTTCATCTTGATTGTTTCATTTTAATTATGTTCTGGTGGCATACAGAGCCGAAATTATGAAAATTGTGTCAGTGAACTAACTGTGTCAGGGACCTAACTGTATGTATGTATGTGTGTATGTATATATATATATACACATACATACATATATATATATATACATACATACATATTTTGTGTTTTGCAAAATTTGCTACTTAAGCAGTTGTGGTGTTCATTCACATTGTTTCTAGATTGTTACTGCCAATACTTGTAGAAACAATGTGAATGATCACCACAACCGCTTAAGTAGCAAAGTTTGCAAAACACAAAATGTATGTCACTGCCAAATACTTTTGGCCACGACTGTATATATATATATATATATATATATCACCCGCTTAAGTTTGCAAAACACAAAATGTATGTCACTGCCAAATACTTTTGGCCACGACTGTATATATATATATATATATATATATTATAATTAATTTGAATATATTAAAAAATCACCATGTTTCATGATGTAATTCTGAGTTTGGAATATACCTGTGCTGACTGATTGGTGAGGCCGGTTCCCTCTAAGTCCAGAACTTCAAGAGTTCGACTGGATGCAACAGCGACAGTCAGCATCCCAGCGATGTGATCCCCTGGAAACCACAAGCAGTGAAGAAAGCTGAGACAGAGACTTAGGGTGCAAGTGGACTTCCGTGGAGACTGTAAAGGCGCACAGAGTCAGACATTCTTTTCTGTGCTACATTTGCATCCCCTGAAGAAAAATGACAATGCTTTCAAGACCGCAGAAGTGTTTCGACTGTTGGCTCTGCGTTACAAAAAAAATAAAATAATAATATGTCACAGCAGAATCACTTTGCTGTCGTCAGACTCTTGTTTTCTGCCAGATGTGTACAAGAATAAACAAATGAAGGATTATGTGTGACTTTTTAAAACACAAGTAGTTAAACTAATTCAAAATTAGAGGTGGAATCACTATAACACTTGACCACAGATGTTCTAAGTGTCTGTGTTCTGTAGCCAGAATGATAAGATTTACAGGAAGAAAAAAAACACTTACACTTCCCAATATACTATTTGATCTAATATAACTACTGACTAATATACTACAATATGCAAACGATCTGAGACACTGCAGCCTCTGATATTACTGTGATGTGATCGAAATCCCTTGTGTTTGCAATGTGTCAATAGAAGATCTTCAAACTTTCATTTCATAAGCACGAGTAATATTATATACAGTACATTAAAAAAACAGATAAATTAAGAACTCATTCAAAAAAAGCGCATTGCTGGGGTTTCACTGGTAGCTAGCCTGTATTTTGTTGTACAATATGCATGCACATATTTACTAATTTAGCGGACGTACCCATGAGGAACATCGCACTAGCTAAGGCAGATAACCTATTGGATGTGGTTTGGGGGTTGCTTATTTGCCAAAGTCAAAAAGCCCACCAGTGATATGTTTTCGAAATGTCTGCTATTGACTGACTGACAGGAAACTTCTCCTCAATAATAGCCTATGGCTATAAATATGCGCGATGCTGATGATGATAATAATAGTGACTAACTAAAGAAGCACTCACAAGAGGGTCTGGACGGATCTGTTGGCCTTCAGAGCATCTGCCAGCTGCTTGGTCCGGCCGATGGTGGACACCACGCCGAGGTTGAGGTTGAGCTGCGCGAGAGAGTGCGACTCCGCCACGCCGCGACACACGCGGCCGAAGTCCCGGTCAGACAGCTGGCAGCCGCGCACCGACAGCAGCCGCACGCTGTTCTCCTTCAGACTGTCGCATATGTCTTTGATCTCCGCGCCGGACAGCGCCTCTCCCGTGATCTGAATAGAGCCCGGCAGCATGTCGGTGGTGTCAAGCTCGATTAACGGGCATTATGGATCCTGGAGGTCGGATCCGCGGCGTCTAATCCGGTGCGCCAGGCTCGGAGTATCGCGGAAGGAAGGTGTGGTGCTGCTGCTGATGCTGCGGTCTGCTTCAGCGTTTTGTGCGTTTGCCTCCCGACATGCTGGAGGATCCTCAAGGCTGCGAACCCAAGATGGTGCTGGTGCTGTCGGTTACTAGATAGAACGTTAAATTGTTCCCATCTCAGCAACGGAACGGGCTTTAGGCGACTCTAGGTTTGAGGTAATCCGCTTGACAGCGGATGCTGGGATTGGCCACAAGAGCGCCAGTGTAGTGAACGGGAAATGGGCGCAAGGTAACGAGTGTAGGCTGTATGGATGATGATTACTTGGGTCTTGGAAGTAGGTTGTATCTATTGCATTAAATAGAGCACCGGGGCAAGTTGTCACACACTTCACCCTAGTGATGGTTGTCAGCGTAGGTTTATTTTACAAAGTGTTTCTGTACAAATCAAGTTCTCACTACGAATGAATAAATAAAAAAAATATTTTCAGTTATTGCTCATGAAAATGTTTTTTTTTTTCAATATTTACAGTTAGCCTAATTTAACACTGTAGTGGGATGTCAATGTTCAAAGTGGGGAAATGCCTATATAGGTTATGCAACAGAATGTAAACGTTTGAAGCAGCACAACAATAACTTATAACTTATTTGAAACAAATGAACTTGTAACACATCAAAAATGTAAAAATAAATAAGCCGTAATTCTTTATAAAATCATGCATGTATTGCCCCGACCTGACATTTTTTTGAAAAATTTATTTTGTTCTGACAGTTTAACCACTCAGTAATATCTGACACATGAAATTTTTAATATTTTGGTAACACTTTATTTCGATAGTCCACTTTAGACATTCTGTTAACAGCAAGTAACTTTGCAACTACATGTCAACTAGCAGTTAGTAGAGTATTAGTAGACTGTCTGCTTAATATCTTCTAACACTTTCTTTGTCAACTTATTCTACTAACCCTAAACCTACCCTAACAGTCTACTCTGAGAGTTAGTAGACGTAGTTGCAAATGAATGAGAATTAGTTGACATGTAGTTACAAAGTTACTTGTAGTTAGTAGAATGTCTAAAGTGGACTATCGAAATAAAGTGTAACCTTTATTTTGAATGAAACTTGTTTATTGAACCTTTAGATAAAATCTAAAAAAATATGCACTTAGGCAAGAAAGATAGAAAGAAAGAATAGTTTGCATATATTTGCATGTGTTTGAATATTTGATACTTCAGGCTTTTATGGCTCATAGCAGAACATGGCGCTCATACTCGAGGAGAAAAAAAGGGTTTATTCAGAGGCCCAAACTGAACTAAAATATGCAATTTGGTGCAGTTGTTATATAAAATTCTGATTGCATGTAATGTAAATCAATATTTCATAACAATAGCAGACTTAAAATGCATATAAATATCAGTTGTCACTCCATTTCTTGCCAAACATAATGCAATGCAATACGATGATGATTGAGCTGCATGTAAATAAATGTTTCTCAAAAGCCTGACATGTCATATTTGATACTCATATTTTAGCATGATTGTTTCAAAAATGATGTATAATCAAGTTGCATCAGTCCAGAAGTGTTCATACTTAATAAAAATCTGATCATTTAGAGGCCATAATTTGTGTATCAAATAAGATACCAATACAATAGGTTTTATAATATACATTATCTAATTGATTCTTGTCTGAATGTGTCAGTGTTATTGTATTCACTTGTTACCCAACAATAAATATATATATTAAAAAAACTTTGCCATTGTTTATATACATGCACATATAATAGTCATCCAATTGCAGCTCTGTGGCACAGGTGGGTCATGTGAATAATATATTGAATGTCACTTGTTTCTTCTCTCAGCAACAGTCTGAGGATGTGAGGGTGGATAGTATAACCAATTGTACCCAGAGCGTGTCTGGTTGCATGGCCCGATCTGTGTGATGGCCTCAGTGAGAGCAGGGAAACGTGAGTCCTGAATGAAACAAACACAGTTAATTCCTAATGCAGCCCAGTGGATGGACTTGTCAACCAGAACACCATCTAAGAACAAAAAGAAAGTCAGTTTTAAAGGAATGGTGCATCTAAAAATTTAAATGCAAAAGGTGAGTTACATGTTCCGAGTAAACATGTAAAATCTATCTATCTACAGTGGGGCAAATAAGTATTTGATACACTGCTGATTTTTCAAGTTTTCCCACTTACAAAGAATGGCAATCAAGGTTTTCAGGATCACTAGGAACTTCCAAGCAGGTGTGATTTGGAGCTGGCTAACTCTGCAGAGCCCTCCAGGAATTGAGTTTGAGACCACTGCTATATAAACCCTAGAGATGATTGTGCATAAAAATCTCAGCAGATCAGCGATTTCTGAAATCAGACCCACCCATCTGACCATGCCATGTTCAAAGCCACTTGAACCAGCGTTCTGACTCATTATGATGCTTTGTTTGAACTTCAGCAGATTGTCCTGAACATGTCTACATGCCTATATGCATTGAGTTGCTGCTATGACATTGGCTTATTAGATATTTGCATTCATTTGCAGGTGTACCTAATAATCCTAATTAAAGTGGCCGGAGAGTGTATATGAACCATGAATATTCCTACAGTTCACTGACTTCTATGAAACAATTCCCAGTGTGTTCATCTCAGAGCAGCTTTCATTAAGTTACATCATATCATTTGGAGTATTGACCATGTTTAGGTTTAGCAAAATGTTACTGTTCAGAGCATCAGCTACTGTTATGTGCAGTATTAATACAAAATATTCTATGTATTGTTTAATCGCTTTAATTGGAGTCTAAATGCCAAGTTTTAAACATATCCAGGCATGACGCCTCTGATCACAAATAAGGACAACAGCGTTTCTTTATTTTCTCTTTACAAGAAGCCTTTAAATAAGAAGCTCACATGTAAAAGACAACATAATGAGAGAGCAGGAAACCCTCACCCCCAACCATAGCTTTAAATAGCAGGAAACAGACTGCACCACAATGGCTGGTTAAATATTGTTTAAGAAAAAAAGATTGCATGCATCATAATCTTTCTCATCTTCAAATAAAATATCATTGCATTTCTGTATTTCGATGCACTTCACCTTCCGATCAAGATTTCTCTATCAAATCTTGATAAAGACTTCCTTTGCAACTGTGAAAATATCTTTAAAAAAAAAAGAATTATGCAACAGGATCTAAAAACAGAAGCATTGTGTGATGCCACTCAGTTACGGAGACAGTTTGTGAGGACAATCAGTGAACTCTCACAGAGCGCAAACATCCAGCTGCATTTAATGTCAACAGGGTTTTTGAAGAATAATTAGTAGTATCAGCATCCTTAAGGAATCCATACATATTCTGAATAAACCATTCTAATATTAGCACATCATGGGTACTGTAACCCTTAGCAAAAAATAATTAAGACAAGTGTAGAGTGAATGGGATAGTGTGTGTCTCATAATAACATGAGCCAAAATTAAGTGAAGTCGTCTCGCCCCAAGAACATCCTTTCAGGTCTGTATGACCGCGTCAGGAACAACATATGAGATGAGACAAACTGAGCTCAGGCCCAAGGTGCTCAACAGAGACTGCCCCCTGACTCTACATATGTACACCAGCCTCACTGGACTGTGTGAGCAATCCCAGAAGACACATATATAATCACTGTGACTGTACAACTGCAGCTATTGACTTGATGGTGGCATTTACAACAGCATTTGCAACAACAGGAACATCTCTGGCCACTCTCTGGATGGGTGGGATGTTGGGTCCTTCCAAGGTATCCAGAATACCTGCAAACAAAAAAACACAACAGTGACGAAGCCTGTAAGACAGCAAAATCTTGACTGTAAGTACAGTAGCCCGAGAGCATAGGCTTTTGATAGTCTCTCACAGGAATAAAAAAAAATCCCTCATTGACTTTTTGAGGGGAACTTGGTACTAACGGTTATAAAAGGCCATACCAGTTGGACTTGCAATGTGTGACAGAAATGTTGCGATCGCAGTGGCTATATTTGTGCTAATATCAGTGGACAGGATTGCTTTACATTATTTACATAAGAAGGCAACATATATATGTAGAGTAATGCAAATATAAGACTGGTCATACTGCTCAACCACAGGTAAGAACTCCAAATCAGACAAATGAAAGTGTTCAAACTGGCCTCATTCTGATGGGCTAAAAATAAAAAGGACCAAAAACACATACTGTAGGTGCTCAACTGTCTCTAAAATTAGACTTAAGAGGGAATTTCAATTACTAAAGGTCACAATAATGCCTTGAAGACATTCTCGTGCACCATCTCGTTCATTACATTGTTGCTCTAAAGGGATGGAACACTTATGTTAACTTGTTAATTTGTTTTAATAATTTATAGACCTTCAGTAAGCAGTTCAGAGCTCCAGTGAAGTATTTTAACAATCCTGTAGTTACGTTCCTTAAGTTAGTATTTTGGATTGAACTGCACTTGCCACGAGAATGATATATTGCATATTTACTATATATTACAAAGAGTGTGCTGCAGATATAAAGTAGTAATACTGCAATTATGAATCTGGACATTAACATTTCCTAAGGAGCTTATATCATTAAACTAATTTACAATTCTTCTTTGTCTGGTGACTCATGCTAAGACTATTAATACTTTCTTTTGCATCATCACTCAAAAATGCGCATGCATGTCTATGCATGCACGTATTAAAATGTTTTGCATAAAAATATGTGTATGCAAATATTGCTGTTTATTTCTATGTATTGTTAGTTTAGTGCATATGCATGAATAATAATACACAAACATGATAGATGTTTCCTTGTGTTCATTTAACAGTGAAAAGTGTGGATTTTAAAAGTGTTTTTGTTCTTCATGGAATTAAAATGCATTTTGTGAAAAAATACATTTATTCTTTTTTTTTGCTGTATCACCCAGCTCTCCTTGCGTTCAGGCTCATGTCTTACCTTCGACCATCTTATGGTAAGCAAAGTGCAGGTAGAGCAGAAAGAGCATGTGAAGAGCAGCCAGGGTTCCACACAAGATGAGGCGAGGAGTCTGACCAACAGTACGGGAAATCAGCACAGCCACCTGTGAGAAAGACAACAAAGCAATGACTACACATACATACATGCATAATCTTAGCCCTCGTTCATTCTTCCTTTACCATGCGTATAGTAGAGAGTCCTCCGATCACCAGCCAGAGAATGTAGAAGAGCGAGTGGAAGTGCACATTGTAAGTGATGAAAAGGACCATACAGTGGCTAAAGAGACCGTAACCCTGAAATCAAAGATAATATGAGACACTCCTGAACACAGCGTAAACTAAACAGCCCTAGCATGAAGTGAGCATGTCATATACTCTCTTCATGGGTAATGCGAGGTACTTACTAGCAAAGACAACATCTGCAGCATGGTAATCTGAGCATTGCACAGGTAAGCAAGGAAATAGATGAAGGAGGACACTCCCAACCAGTATCCAAAACAGGTTCCAATGGCAGTTCCCATCAGCGTACCCTCTCTCTGTTTCAACAAGCAAACAATAAAATTCGATCATTAAAATTGTTCACAATTTTGGATGACATTTCTCACCGACACAGACAAACGTGTGGAAAACGGCTTACAATGACAGTTCCTGAGGTCTTCATGCCATGGAGCAGAATAGCCACCATCGTGAACACCAGCATCATTGGTCCATACAGCTCTCCAGCAACTTTCTGGGTTTAACAGATAAAAAAAAAATAAAAAAAAGAACTAATGAAGAAAAGCAATTCTAACATCTGCTGTTCGAAAATCTGCGCTGTCCAGTGGGTTGAGTAACACAGTTTTGTCCCATTTTTGGCTTTTCAAAAAGCTCAAAACTAAAATGTGCTGTGAGACAATGAGGAAATTCATGCAGTTAAAGGCATAGTTCACCCAACAATTAATATTTGATGTTTATCCGCTTACCCCCAGGGCATCCAAGATGTAGGCGACTTTGTTTCTTCAGTAGAACACAAATTATGATTTTTAACTTTAGCCGTTGCAGTCTATCAGTCGTATAATGCATGGCAATGGTAACAAAATCTATGAGTAAAAAAAACATGCACAGACAAATCCAAATTAAACCCATAAGACTGGTCATACTGCTCAACCACAGGTAAGAACTCCAAATCAGACAAATGAAAGTGTTCAAACTGGCCTCATTCTGATGGGCTAAAAATAAAAAGGACCAAAAACACATACTGTAGGTGCTCAACTGTCTCTAAAATTAGACTTAAGAGGGAATTTCAATTACTAAAGGTCACAATAATGCCTTGAAGACATTCTCGTGCACCATCTCGTTCATTACATTGTTGCTCTAAAGGGATGGAACACTTATGTTAACTTGTTAATTTGTTTTAATAATTTATAGACCTTCAGTAAGCAGTTCAGAGCTCCAGTGAAGTATTTTAACAATCCTGTAGTTACGTTCCTTAAGTTAGTATTTTGGATTGAACTGCACTTGCCACGAGAATGATATATTGCATATTTACTATATATTACAAAGAGTGTGCTGCAGATATAAAGTAGTAATACTGCAATTATGAATCTGGACATTAACATTTCCTAAGGAGCTTATATCATTAAACTAATTTACAATTCTTCTTTGTCTGGTGACTCATGCTAAGACTATTAATACTTTCTTTTGCATCATCACTCAAAAATGCGCATGCATGTCTATGCATGCACGTATTAAAATGTTTTGCATAAAAATATGTGTATGCAAATATTGCTGTTTATTTCTATGTATTGTTAGTTTAGTGCATATGCATGAATAATAATACACAAACATGATAGATGTTTCCTTGTGTTCATTTAACAGTGAAAAGTGTGGATTTTAATAGTGTTTTTGTTCTTCATGGAATTAAAATGCATTTTGTGAAATAAAATACATTTATTCTTTTTTTTTGCTGTATCACCCAGCTCTCCTTGCGTTCAGGCTCATGTCTTACCTTCGACCATCTTATGGTAAGCAAAGTGCAGGTAGAGCAGAAAGAGCATGTGAAGAGCAGCCAGGGTTCCACACAAGATGAGGCGAGGAGTCTGACCAACAGTACGGGAAATCAGCACAGCCACCTGTGAGAAAGACAACAAAGCAATGACTACACATACATACATGCATAATCTTAGCCCTCGTTCATTCTTCCTTTACCATGCGTATAGTAGAGAGTCCTCCGATCACCAGCCAGAGAATGTAGAAGAGCGAGTGGAAGTGCACATTGTAAGTGATGAAAAGGACCATACAGTGGCTAAAGAGACCGTAACCCTGAAATCAAAGATAATATGAGACACTCCTGAACACAGCATAAACTAAACAGCCCTAGCATGAAGTGAGCATGTCATATACTCTCTTCATGGGTAATGCGAGGTACTTACTAGCAAAGACAACATCTGCAGCATGGTAATCTGAGCATTGCACAGGTAAGCAAGGAAATAGATGAAGGAGGACACTCCCAACCAGTATCCAAAACAGGTTCCAATGGCAGTTCCCATCAGCGTACCCTCTCTCTGTTTCAACAAGCAAACAATAAAATTCGATCATTAAAATTGTTCACAATTTTGGATGACATTTCTCACCGACACAGACAAACGTGTGGAAAACGGCTTACAATGACAGTTCCTGAGGTCTTCATGCCATGGAGCAGAATAGCCACCATCGTGAACACCAGCATCATTGGTCCATACAGCTCTCCAGCAACTTTCTGGGTTTAACAGATAAAAAAAAAATAAAAAAAAGAACTAATGAAGAAAAGCAATTCTAACATCTGCTGTTCGAAAATCTGCGCTGTCCAGTGGGTTGAGTAACACAGTTTTGTCCCATTTTTGGCTTTTCAAAAAGCTCAAAACTAAAATGTGCTGTGAGACAATGAGGAAATTCATGCAGTTAAAGGCATAGTTCACCCAACAATTAATATTTGATGTTTATCCGCTTACCCCCAGGGCATCCAAGATGTAGGCGACTTTGTTTCTTCAGTAGAACACAAATTATGATTTTTAACTTTAGCCGTTGCAGTCTATCAGTCGTATAATGCATGGCAATGGTAACAAAATCTATGAGTAAAAAAAACATGCACAGACAAATCCAAATTAAACCC